CTTTAAGGCATCTTGATGTTTGACCATAGTATACTTGTTTACGTGAGCCGCACGGTATACAATAAACAACATCCGTTAAGGATAAGAGTGCGGATTGGTCTTTAAGTTTAGAAAAAACTTTGTTAACTGTTAGTACCGTTTTATATGCAATTTTGATATTATTAATTGATGAAAAAATTCTAATTCTACTTAGTTTATGCCCAATATCCTTAATGTATGGAAGAGATACATATCTAATTGTGGTTTGGTTTTGTAAAGGATCTACAGATCCAATCCTATCTTGTGATAAAGACATATTTTCTTCGTTTCTTAAATGACTATTTAAATTTTGTGGAGTGTTAAACAAAATTTTCTTTAGTAGTATACTTGGGTATGAGTTTTCAATGAACAGGTTATAAAGGATTTTTAGATTTTTTGTATGGAAAGAGGTATCACTGATTTTAAGGACACGATTTTTCATTTCTTTAACTAAATTAAGTTTCATTGAATATTTATGGTATGACCAATAATTGAGATATCGACCTGAACTGAGAGGTTTTCTGTACCAATCAACCAGCAAATGGGTACCTTTTCGTATTAACTTTGTATCTAAAAAAGGTACTGAACCTATAGCATCTTCACATTCTAATGTAAATTGAATGTAGGGGTTGTAACTATTGAAATACCAAAGTATATCATTTATTCCTGTGCTTGGTAATGCTAATATTATGTCATCAACATATTTTTTTAATAAAACGAAATTTATAAGGTAGGACAAGGAGAATGGTGTCTAGTATGTGGTCCATTACAAAACAGGAAATTATTGGTGATATAGGGTTCCCCATAGGTGTACCAAAAGTTTGTTTGTATATATATATATATATATATATATATATATATATATATATATATATATATATATATATATATATATATTAGTGGATTCTCTTGGGCTTGGTTCATAAAAAAAATTGGTTTGATACTAAGACATTTTTATATATTTTTTCGACGTTTCGGCAGGAAATCTATGCCTTTTTCAAGAATATATATTGACAAGCATGTAAAGATTCGGTATTAACAATTAGACGTTACAATTAAAATAATATATAACATAGGACATTCCACTAAGTCACTACAAGTAAAATTTAGAATTTTACGTATAGTTTATATATAGTATATTTATATATAATATATATATATATATATATATATATATCTATAATGTATGTATATATATATATATATGTATATATATATATATTATATATATATATATATATATATATATATATAATATACAACGTGAGTGAGATTAAAATCTTACTGTAAATGAGGATATCGGTCAAGGAAAAATAAAAAATGAAAAAACTATTTCAATCTTTTAATAGAAAACGTTTCGTGCAGTATTTCTGCACTTCTTCAGTTCTAATGATTGTAAAATCATATACAGATGTCAAACAATGTCAAATGCATATGTTGAGATGTTATAAAATACATTAAATAGATACAATACAAGTTACAGTAAAAAATACATTCAAAATTTCATTTTAAATTTATACAAACATTAAAAAGTTACCAAAATGTCACAATATGTTAACAAGAACAGTATAATATAATACAACACTTGTATTCTATGAACCTAGGATAAAAAGTAACTTGTTTTAGAGCTTAGTGAACAATATGAAAAAAGTTTTTATGGAAAAAAGCATGGAAACTTAACTTTATTGTTAGATATACCAAAGTAATTAAAAAAAGTAACTATTTTTGATAGATAGGGTTCTACTATTCCGAAAAGCAAAACAAAAACTAATATGTCTTTAGAAATCAGTCTTTGTATGAAAAATGAACTAGATAACAAAAATATTTATTTACAGGACAGAATAGATAAGCCAATTTGTTTAAAATCTAATTATAAGAGGGTTGGTAATAAAATGTACCGATGACCATTGTTGGGGAACCTAGAATTAGTGAATATAAATTAATTAAAATGTGAATGAATTTATTTAACTCACCATGTGGTTCATTTTGGAAAGGATTTTACATCGAAGTGTGATATTTGAAGATTGCTAAGTTTTCGTTGAAATGAATGTAGGGATTTAATTTTGAAGTATCAAGGTAGAACCGATGGTAGCTACTTTTTTTTTAAAGGACAAAAACTGAAAAATTTAGGCCATGTCTTGATCTGATTTTGGTGTACCTAAGTTAAATTATGAAAATGTAACGTTAAACTAGGAAGATTTTAAGGATTATTCAACAGCAAGGAGTATTAAAAGATGCTGAGATTATCAATGTCAGTACGGCTGTTCATGGAGTTTTTTTCTCTTAATATGTGACACATTTTCAGGAAGAGTCTCTTATAGAAATTATTTTCAGTTCATAAAGATTTAATATTCTCAAAGTCGATTTGCTGGTTTGAGAGAGATAGAGTGGGCACTGACAGCACAAGAGTCCTTGTTGCATCTGATATCACTTTTATGGGATATAACACGCCCTTTAATGGTTCCTTTCGTTTGACCAATATACTTCAAATGACAGTCTTTGCATGGAATGTTATATACTACATTTGATTTCTCCCAAATATCTAAAGGTACGTAAAAAGAGATTTCCAACTGTTTTACAATTTTTGATGCCTATTTTAGTAGATAGCGGTTTAAACAATTTGGTAAGTTTCTCTGTAACCTGTGGAAAATAGGGAAATGAGCAATATCTAGGAGTAGACTCAGATGTGGATACCTCATCAAGGTGGAGTTTATTGTTGTCAAGTATGTTAATACAAATCTCCCACATTGGTATAAGTCGGGTCAAGTAAGGACCTTGCAGTAGAAAAAAATATATCTATTAATAAGAAAAGTTGGATAAGAATTCTCAACTAATATGGTTTTAATTAAATGAGTGGCTTCCCTTCTGTATAAAGGATGTGACAACTTAAGAGTTCTTAAGGCTAATCCCTGTATGAGGTTGTGTTTGAATCTTTTAGGATGAAAGTAGTGTATATATATGTATATATATATATATATATATATATATATATATATATATATATATTATATATATATATATATATATATGTATGTATATTTCAAGTGATCTTAAAAATTATCTGTACTATTTTATAGCTTTCATATTGATCACGTGCAATTAGAACCAAAGGCACAACGTCACATAGTCCGAATTACATAATTGAATGGGTAGTTACAGTCAAGAATAATTGGAATGTCAAGTGTTAATAATTCAAATTATCCATGCCTATAATAATACAATACAGTAATCACAATACATCATTCTTTTAAATGTCTAATAAGACCAATCAAATATTTAATTTATATAACAAAGTATAATAAATTAACTGATATTAACAAAATTATTTCAAACTTTACGACTACTCCTGTAGATATCGGTGGAACAATGGATGCAGGAGTTACAAAAGGTGGTACTACAGTAGTTGTTATAGTCGAGGTAGACCGTTCTGTTCTTCCAGTAGATAGACTAGAAGTGATAGTAGAAGTAGGCGGTTCTGCTGTGTCAGTAGTTGCGCTAGAAGATTTAGTCGAGGTAGAAAATTCTGTTGTCTCAGGAGTTTTACTAGAAATTGTAGTTGAAGTAGAAGGTTCTGTTGTCTCAGGACTTGTACTGGAAATTGTAGTCGAAGATGAAGGTTCTGTTGCCACGGGAGTTGTACTGGAAATTGTAGTCAAATTTGTAGATTCAGTTTTCTCAGTAGGTTGTAATGGAAAATGTGGTCGAAGTGGAAGGTTTTGTTGTCTCAGGAGTTGTACTGAATATTGTAGTCGAATTGGTAGGTTTCGTTATCTTAGTAGATGTACTGAAAATCGTAGTTAAAGTGGAAAGTTCTGTTGTCTCAGTAGTTGTACTGGAAATTGTAGTCGAATTGGTTGGTTCGGTTGTCTTAGAAGTTTTTCTGGAAATTGTAGTCAAAGTAGAAGGCTCTGTTGTCTCAGGAGTTGTCCTGGAAATTGTAGTCGAATTTGTAGGTTCATTTGTCTCAGTAGGTGTACTAAAATCTGCAGTCGACGTGGAAGGTTCTGTTGTCTCACGAGTTGTACTGGAAATTGTAGTCGAATTGGTAGGTTCAGTTGTCTCAGTAGGTGTACTAAAAATTGTAGTCGAAGTGGAAGGTTCTGTTGTGTTAGGAGTTGTACTAGAAACTAAAGTCGAATTGGTAGGTTCAGTTGTCTTAGAAGTAGTACTGGAAATTGTAGTCGAAGTGGAAGATTCTGTTGTCTCAGGAGTTGTACTGGAAATTGTAGTCGAAGTGGAAGGTTTTGTTGTCTCAGGAGTTGTACTGGAAATTGTAGTCGAAGTAAAAGGTTCGGTTGTCTCGGTAGTCGTACTAGGAATTGTAGTCGAAGTGAAAGGTTCTGTTGTCTCGGTAGTTGTACTAGAAATTGTAGTCGAAGTAAAAGGTTCTGTTGTCTCAGAAGGTGTACTGTAAATTGTCGTCGATGTGAAAGGTTCTGTTGTCTCGGTAGTTGTACTGTAAATTGTCGTCCATGTGAGAGGTTCTGTTGTCTGGTAGTTGTACTAGCAATTGTAGTCGAGGTGAAAGGTTCGGTTGTCTCGGTAGTTGTACTAGGAATTGTAGTCGAAGTGAAAGGTTCTGTTGTCTCGGTAGTTGTACTAGAAATTGTAGTCGAAGTGAAAGGTTCTGTTGTCTCAGAAGGTGTACTGTAAATTGTCGTCGATGAGAAAGGTTCTGTTGTCTCGGTAGTTGTACTAGAAATTGTAGTCGAAGTGAAAGGTTTAGTTGTCCCAGAAGTTGTACTGTAAATTGTCGTCGATGTGAAAGGTTCTGTTGTCTCGGTAGTTGTACTAGAATTGTAGTCGAAGTGAAAGGTACAGTTGTCTCGGTAGTTGTACCAGAAATTGTAGTTGAAAGTAAAGGTTCAGTTGTCTCAGAAGGTGTACTGTAAATTGTCGTTGATGTAAAAGGTTCTGTTGTCTCGGTAGTTGTACTAGGAATTGTAGTCGAAGTGAAAGGTACATTTGTCTCGGTACTTGTACTAGGAATTGTAGTCGAAGTGAAAGGTTGAGTTGTCCCAGAAGTGTGTGTAAATTGTCGTTGATGTGAAAGGTTCTGTTGTCTCGGTAGTTGTACTGTAAATTGTCGTCGATGTGAAAGGTTCTGTTGTCTCGGTAGTTGTACTAGTAATTGTAGTCGAAGTGAAAGGTTCGGTTGTCTCGGTAGTCGTACTAGGAATTGTATTCGAAGTGAAAGGCTCTGTTGTCTCGGTAGTTGTACTAGAAATTGTAGTCGAAGTGACAGGTTCGGTTGTCTCGGTAGTTGTACTAGGAATTGTAGTCGAAGTAAAAGGTTCTGTTGTCTCGGTAGTTGTACTAGGTATTGTAGTCGAAGTGAAAGGTTCTGTTGTCTCGGTAGTTGTACTAGGAATTGTAGTCGAAGTGAAAGGTTCGGTTGTCTCGGTAGTTGTACTAGGAATTGTACTCGAAGTGAAAGGTTCTGTTGTCTCGGTAGTTGTACTAGAAATTGTAGTCGAAGTGACAGGTTCGGTTGTCTCGGTAGTTGTACTAGGAATTGTAGTCGAAGTAAAAGGTTCTGTTGTCTCGGTAGTTGTACTAGGTATTGTAGTTGAAGTGAAAGGTCCTGTTGTCTCGGTAGTTGTACTAGGAATTGTAGTCGAAGTGAAAGGTTCGGTTGTCTCGGTAGTTGTACTAGGAATTGTACGTCGAAGTGAAAGGTTCTGTTGTCTCGGTAGTTGTACTGTAAACTGTCGTCGATGTGAACGGTTCTGTTGTATCAGTAGTTGTACTAGGAATTGTAGTCGAAGTGAAAGGTTCGGTTGTCTCCGTAGTCGTACTAGGAACTGTAGTCGAAGTAAAAGGTTTTGTTGTCTCGGTAGTTGTATTAGGAAATTGTAGTCGAAGTGAAAGGTTCGGTTGTCTCGGAAGTCGTACTAGGAATTGTAGTCGAAGTGAAAGGCTCTGTTGTCTCAGTAGTTGTACTAGAAATTGTAGTCGAAGTGAAAGGTTCGGCTGTCTCGGTACTCGTACTAGGAATTGTAGTCGAAGTAAAAGGTTCTGTTGTCTCAGTAATTGTACTAGGTATTGTAGTCGAAGTGAAAGGTTCTCTGGTCTCGGTAGTTGTACTATAAATAGTCGTCGATGTGAAAGGTTCGTTGTCTCGGTAGTTGTACTAGGAATTGTAGTCGAAGTGAAAGGTTCGGTTGTCTCGGTAGTCGTACTAGGAACTGTAGTCGAAGTAAAAGTTTCTGTTGTCTCGGTAGTTGTACTAGGTATTGTAGTCGAAGTGAAAGGTTCTGTTGTCTCGGTAGTTGTACTGTAAATTGTCGTCGATGTGAAAGGTTCTGTTGTCTCGGTAGTTGTACTAGAAATTGTAGTCGAAGTAAAAGGTTCTGTTGTCTCGGTAGTTGTACTAGGAATTGTAGTCGAAGTGAAAGGTTCGGTTGTCTCGGAAGTCGTACTAGGAATTGTAGTCGAAGTGAAAGGTTCTGTTGTCTCGGTAGTTGTACTAGGAATTGTAGTCGAAGTGAAAGGTTCAGTTGTCTCAGAAGGTGTGCTGTATATTGTCGTTGATGTAAAAGGTTTTGTTGTCTCGGTAGTTGTACTAGGAATTGTAGTCGAAGTGAAAGGTACAGTTGTCTCGGTAGTTGTACTAGAAATTGTAGTCGAAGTTAAAGGTTCAGTTGTCTCAGAAGGTGTACTGTAAATTGTCGTTGATGCGAAAGGTTCTGTTGTCTCGGTAGTTGTACTGTAAATTGTCGTCGATGTGAAAGGTTCTGTTGTCTCGGTAGTTGTACTAGGAATTGTAGTCGAAGTGAAAGGTTCGGTTGTCTCGGTAGTTGTACTAGGAATTGTAGTCGAAGTAAAAGGTTCTGTTATCTTGGTAGTTGTACTAGGAATTGTAGTCGAAGTGAAAGGTTCGGTTGTCTCGGAAGTCGTACTAGGAATTGTAGTCGAAGTGAAAGGCTCTGTTGTCTCGGTAGTTGTACTAGAAATTGTAGTCGAAGTGAAAGGTTCGGTTGTCTCGGAAGTCGTACTAGGAATTATAGTCGAAGTGAAAGGCTCTGTTGTCTCGGTAGTTGTACTAGAAATTGTAGTCGAAGTGAAAGGTTCGGTTGTCTCGGTAGTCGTACTAGGAATTGTAGTCGAAGTAAAATGTTCTGTTGTCTCGGTAGTTGTACTAGGAATTGTAGTCGAAGTGAAAGGTTCTGTTGTCTCGGTAGTTGTACTAAGAATTGTAGTCGAAGTGAAAGGTTCGGTTGTCTCGGTAGTCGTACTAGGAATTGTAGTCGAAGTGAAAGATTCTGTTGTCTCGGTAGTTGTACTGTAAATTGTCGTCGATGTAAACGGTTCTGTTGTATCGGTAGTTGTACTAGGAATTGTAGTCGAAGTGAAAGGTTCGGATGTCTCTTTAGTGGTACTAGGAACTGTAGTCGAAGTAAAAGTTTCGGTTGTTTCGGTAGTCGTACTAGGAATTGTAATCGAAGTAAAAGGTTCTGTTGACTCGGTAGTTGTACTAGGTATTGTAGTCAAAGTGAAAGGTTCTGTTGTCTCGGTAGTTGTACTAGGAATTGTAGTCGAAGTGAAAGGTTCGGTTGTCTCGGTAGTTGTACTGTAAATTGTCGTCGAATGTGAACGGTTCTGTTGTCTTGGTAGTTGTACTAGGAATTGTAGTCGAAGTGAAAGGTTCAGTTGTCTCGGAAGTTGTACTAGGTATTGTAGTCGAAGTGAAAGGTTCTGTTGTCTCGGTAGTTGTACTAGGAATTGTAGTCGAAGTGGAAGGTTCGGTTGTCTCGGTAGTCGTACTAGGAATTGTAGTCGAAGTGAAAGGTTCTGTTGTCTCGGTAGTTGTACTGTAAATTGTCGTCGATGTGAACGGTTCTGTTGTATCGGTAGTTGTACTAGGAATTGTAGTCGAAGTGAAAGGTTCGGTTGTCTCAGCAGTCGTATCAGGAATTGTAGTCGCAGTAAAAGGTTCTGTTGTCTCGGTAGTTGTACTAGGAATTGTAGTCGAAGTGAAAGGTTCGGTTGTCTCGGTAGTTGTACTAGAATTGTAGTCGAAGTGAAAGGTTCGGTTGTCTCGGTAGTCGTACTAGGAATTGTAGTCGAAGTAAAAGGTTCTGTTGTCTCGGTAGTTGTACTAGGAATTGTAGTCGAAGTAAAAGGTTCTGTTGTCTCGGTAGTTGTACTAGGAATTGTAGTCGAAGTGAAAGGTTCGGTTGTCTCGGTAGTTGTACTAGAAATTGTAGTCGAAGTGAAAGGTTCGGTTGTCTCGGTAGTTGTACTAGGAATTGTAGTCGAAGTGAAAGGTTCGTTGTCTTGGTAGTTTTACTAGGAATTGTAGTCGAAGTAAAAGGTTCTGTTGTCTCGGTAGTTGTACTAGGTATTGTAGTCGAAGTGAAAGGTTCTGTTGTCTCGGTAGTTGTACTGAAGATTGTCGTCGATGTGAAAGATTCTGTTGTCTCGGTAGTTGTACTAGGAATTGTAGTCGAAGTGAAAGGTTCGGTTGTCTCGGTAGTTGTACTAGAAATTGTAGTCGAAGTGAAAGGTTCGGTTGTCTTGGTAGTTTTACTAGGAATTGTAGTCGAAGTAAAAGGTTCTGTTGTCTCGGTAGTTGTACTAGGTATTGTAGTCGAAGTGAAAGGTTCTGTTGTCTCGGTAGTTGTACTGAAGATTGTCGTCGATGTGAAAGATTCTGTTGTCTCGGTAGTTGTACTAGGAATTGTAGTCGAAGTGAAAGGTTCGGTTGTCTCGGTAGTTGTACTAAAATTGTAGTCGAAGTGAAAGGTTCGGTTGTCTCGGTAGTCGTACTAGGAATTGTAGTCGAAGTAAAAGGTTCTGTTGTCTCAGTAGTTGTACTAGGAATTGTAGTCGAAGTAAAAGGTTCTGTTGTCTCGGTAGTTGTACTGAAATGTCGCGTAAAGTTCTGTGTCTCGTAGTGTACGGATTGTAGTCGAAGTGAAAGGTTCTGTTGTCTCGGTAGTTGTACTAGGAATTGTAGTCGAAGTGAAAGGTTCGGTTGTCTCGGTAGTTTTACTAGAATTGTAGTCGAAGTGAAAGGTTCTGTTGTCTCGGTAGTTGTACTAGGAATTGTAGTCGAAGTGAAAGGTTCAGTTGTCTCGGTAGTTGTACTAGAAATTGTCGTCGATGTGAAAGGTTCTGTTGTCTCGGTAGTTTTACTAGGAATTGTAGTCGAAGTAAAAGGTTCTGTTGTCTCGGTAGTTGTACTAGGTATTGTAGTCGAAGTGAAAGGTTCAGTTGTCTCGGAAGTCGTACTAGGTATTCTAGTCGAAGTGAAAGGTTCTGTTGTCTCGGTAGTTGTACTAGGAATTGTAGTCGAAGTGAAAGGTTCGGTTGTCTCGGTAGTCGTACTAGGAATTGTAGTCGAAGTGAAAGGTTCTGTTGTCTCGGTAGTTGTACTGTAAATTGTCGTCGATGTGAACGTTCTGTTGTATCGGTAGTTGTACTAGGAATTGTAGTCGAAGTGAAAGGTTCGGTTGTCTCAGCAGTCGTACTCAGGAATTGTAGTCGCAGTAAAAGGTTCGGTTGTCTCGGTAGTTGTACTAGAAATTGTAGTCGAAGTGAAAGGTTCGGTTGTCTCGGTAGTCGTACTAGGAATTGTAGTCGAAGTAAAGGTTCTGTTGTCTTAGTAGTTGTACTAGAATTGTAGTCGAAGTAAAAGGTTCAGTTGTCTCGGTAGTTGTACTGAAGATTGTCGTCGATGTGAAAGATTCTGTTGTCTCGGTAGTTGTACTAGGAATTGTAGTCGAAGTGAAAGGTTCGTTGTCTCGGTAGTTGTACTAGAAATTGTAGTCGAAGTGAAAGGTTCGGTTGTCTGGTAGTTTACTAGGAATTGTAGTCGAAGTGAAAGGTTCGGTTGTCTCGGTAGTTTTACTAGGAATTGTAGTCGAAGTAAAAGGTTCTGTTGTCCTCGGTAGTTGTACTAGGTATTGTAGTCGAAGTGAAAGGTTCTGTTGTCTCGGTAGTTGTACTGAAGATTGTCGTCGATGTGAAAGGTTCTGTTGTCTCGGTAGTTGTACTAGGAATTGTAGTCGAAGTGAAAGGTTCGGTTGTCTCGGTAGTTGTACTAGAAATTGTAGTCGAAGTGAAAGGTTCGGTTGTCTTGGTAGTTTTACTAGGAATTGTAGTCGAAGTAAAAGGTTCTGTTGTCTCGGTAGTTGTACTAGGTATTGTAGTCGAAGTGAAAGGTTCTGTTGTCTCGGTAGTTGTACTGTAAATTGTCGTCGATGTGAAAGATTCTGTTGTCTCGGTAGTTGTACTAGGAATTGTAGTCGAAGTGAAAGGTTCGGTTGTCTCGGTAGTTGTACTAGAAATTGTAGTCGAAGTGAAAGGTTCGTTGTCTCGGTAGTCGTACTAGGAATTGTAGTCGAAGTAAAAGGTTCTGTTGTCTTAGTAGTTGTACTAGGAATTGTAGTCGAAGTAAAAGGTTCGTTGTCTCGGTAGTTGTACTAGGAATTGTAGTCGAAGTGAAAGGTTCAGTTGTCTCGGTAGTTGTACTAGAATTGTAGTCGAAGTGAAAGGTTCTGTTGTCTGGTAGTTGTACTAGGAATTGTAGTCGAAGTAAAAGGTTCTGTTGTCTCGGTAGTTGTACTAGGTATTGTAGTCGAAGTGAAAGGTTCTGTTGTCTCGGTAGTTGTACTGAAGATTGTCGTCGATGTGAAAGATTCTGTTGTCTCGGTAGTTGTACTAGGAATTGTAGTCGAAGTGAAAGGTTCGGTTGTCTCGGTAGTTGTACTAGAAATTGTAGTCGAAGTGAAAGGTTCGGTTGTCTCGGTAGTCGTACTAGGAATTGTTGTCGAAGTAAAAGGTTCTGTTGTCTTAGTAGTTGTACTAGGAATTGTAGTCGAAGTAAAAGGTTTAGTTGTCTCGGTAGTTGTACTAGGAATTGTAGTCGAAGTGAAAGGTTCAGTTGTCTCGGTAGTTGTACTAGAAACTGTAGTCGAAGTGAAAGGTTCGGTTGTCTCGGTCGTCTGTACTAGGAATTGTAGTCGAAGTAAAAGGTTCTGTTGTCTCGGTAGTTGTACTAGGTAAATTGTAGTCGAATGTGAAAGGTTCTGTTGTCTCGGTAGTTGTACTAGGAATTGTAGTCGAAGTGAAAGGTTCTGTTGTCTCGGTAGTTGTACTAGGAATTGTAGTCGAAGTGAAAGGTTCTGTTGTCTCGGTAGTTGTACTAGGAATTGTAGTACGAAGTAAAAGGTTCTGTTGTCTAGTAGTTGTACTAGGTATTGTAGTCGAAGTGAAAGGTTCTGTTGTCTCGGTAGTTGTACTGTAATAGTCGTCGAAGTGAAAGGTTCTGTTGTCTCGGTAGTGTACTGTAAATTGTCGTCGATGTGAAAGGTTCTGTTGTCTCGGTAGTTGTACTAGGAATTGTAGTCGAAGTAAAAGGTTCTGTTGTCTCAGTAGTTGTACTAGGTATTGTAGTCGAAGTGAAAGGTTCTGTTGTCTCGGTCTTTGTACTGAAAATTGTCGTCGATGTGAAAGGTTCTGTTGTCTCGGTAGTTGTACTAGGAATTGTAGTCGAAGTGAAAGGTTCTGTTGTCTCGGTAGTTGTACTAGAAATTGTAGTCGAAGTGAAAGGTTCGGTTGTCTCGGTAGTCGTACTAGGAATTGTAGTCGAAGTAAAAGGTTCTGTTGTCTCGGTAGTTGTACTAGGAATTGTAGTCGAAGTAAAAGGTTCAGTTGTCTCGGTAGTTGTACTAGGAATTGTAGTCGAAGTGAAAGGTTCTGTTGTCTCGGTAGTTGTACTAGAAATTGTAGTCGAAGTGAAAGGTTCGGTTGTCTCGGTAGTCGTACTAGGAATTGTAGTCGAAGTAAAAGGTTCTGTTGTCTCGGTAGTTGTACTAGGTATTGTAGTCGAAGTGAAAGTTCTGTTGTCTCGGTAGTTGTACTGTAATAGTCGTCGATGTGAAAGGTTCTGTTGTCTCGGTAGTTGTACTGTAAATTGTCGTCGATGTGAAAGGTTCTGTTGTCTCGGTAGTTGTACTAGAAATTGTAGTCGAAGTGAAAGGTTCGGTTGTCTCGGTAGTCGTACTAGGAATTGTAGTCGAAGTAAAAGGTTCTGTTGTCTCGGTAGTTGTACTAGTATTGTAGTCGAAGTGAAAGGTTCTGTTGTCTCGGTAGTTGTACTAGAAATTGTAGTCGAAGTGAAAGGTTCGTTGTCTCGGTAGTTGTACTAGGAATTGTAGTCGAAGTGAAAGGTTCTGTTGTCTCGGTAGTTGTACTAGGTATTGTAGTCGAAGTGAAAGGTTCTGTTGTCTCGGTAGTTGTACTAGGAATTGTAGTCGAAGTGAAAGGTTCGGTTGTCTCGGTAGTTGTACTAGAAATTGTAGTCGAAGTGAAAGGTTCGGTTGTCTCGGTAGTTGTACTAGGAATTGTAGTCGAAGTAAAAGGTTCTGTTGTCTCGGTAGTTGTACTAGGTATTGTAGTCGAAGTGAAAGGTTCTGTTGTCTCGGTAGTTGTACTGAAATTGTCGTCGATGTGAAAGATTCTGTTGTCTCGGTAGTTGTACTAGGAATTGTAGTCGAAGTGAAAGGTTCGGTTGTCTCGGTAGTTGTACTAGAAATTGTAGTCGAAGTGAAAGGTTCGGTTGTCTCGGTAGTCGTACTAGGAATTGTAGTCGAAGTAAAAGTTCTGTTGTCTTAGTAGTTGTACTAGGAATTGTAGTCGAAGTAAAAGGTTCTGTTGTCTCGGTAGTTGTACTAGGAATTGTAGTCGAAGTGAAAGGTTCAGTTGTCTCGGTAGTTGTACTAGAAATTGTAGTCGAAGTGAAAGGTTCTGTTGTCTCGGTAGTTGTACTAGGAATTGTAGTCGAAGTAAAGGTTCTGTTGTCTCGGTAGTTGTACTAGTATTGTAGTCGAAGTGAAAGGTTCTGTTGTCTCGGTAGTTGTACTGAAGATTGTCGTCGATGTGAAAGATTCTGTTGTCTCGGTAGTTGTACTAGGAATTGTAGTCGAAGTGAAAGGTTCGGTTGTCTCGGTAGTTGTACTAGAAATTGTAGTCGAAGTGAAAGGTTCGGTTGTCTCGGTAGTCGTACTAGGAATTGTGTCGAAATAAAAGTTCTGTTGTCTTGTAGTTGTACTAGGAATTGTAGTCGAAGTAAAGGTTTAGTTGTCTCGGTAGTTGTACTAGGAATTGTAGTCGAAGTGAAAGGTTCGTTGTCTCGGTAGTTGTACTAGGAACTGTAGTCGAAGTGAAAGGTTCGGTTGTCTCGGTAGTCGTACTAGGAATTGTAGTCGAAGTAAAAGGTTCTGTTGTCTCGGTAGTTGTACTAGGTATTGTAGTCGAAGTGAAAGGTTCTGTTGTCTCGGTAGTTGTACTAGGAATTGTAGTCGAAGTGAAAGGTTCGGTTGTCTCGGTAGTCGTACTAGGAATTGTAGTCGAAGTAAAAGGTTCTGTTGTCTCGGTAGTTGTACTAGGTATTGTAGTCGAAGTGAAAGGTTCTGTTGTCTCGGTAGTTGTACTGTAAATTGTCGTCGATGTGAAAGGTTCTGTTGTCTCGGTAGTTGTACTGTAAATTGTCGTCGAAGTGAAAGGTTCTGTTGTCTCGGTAGTTGTACTAGGAATTGTAGTCGAAGTAAAAGGTTCTGTTGTCTCAGTAGTTGTACTAGGTATTGTAGTCGAAGTGAAAGGTTCTGTTGTCTCGGTAGTTGTACTGAAAATTGTCGTCGATGTGAAAGGTTCTGTTGTCTCGGTAGTTGTACTAGGAATTGTAGTCGAAGTGAAAGGTTCTGTTGTCTCGGTAGTTGTACTGGAAATTGTAGTTGAAGTGGAAGGTTCGGTTGTCTCGGTAGTCGTACTAGGAATTGTGTCGAAGTAAAAGGTTCTGTTGTCTGTAGTTGTACTAGGATTGTAGTCGAGTAAAGGTTCAGTTGTCTCGGTAGTTGTACTAGGAATTGTAGTCGAAGTGAAAGGTTCAGTTGTCTCGGTAGTTGTACTAGAAATTGTAGTCGAAGTGAAAGGTTCGTTGTCTCGGTAGTCGTACTAGGAATTGTAGTCGAAGTAAAAGGTTCTGTTGTCTAGTAGTTGTACTAGGTATTGTAGTCGAAGTGAAAGGTTCTGTTGTCTCGGTAGTTGTACTGTAAATTGTCGTCGATGTGAAAGGTTCTGTTGTCTCGGTAGTTGTACTGTAAATTGTCGTCGATGTGAAAGGTTCTGTTGTCTCGGTAGTTGTACTAGGAATTGTAGTCGAAGTAAAAGGTTCGGTTGTCTCGGTAGTCGTACTAGGAATTGTAGTCGAAGTAAAAGGTTCTGTTGTCTAGTAGTTGTACTAGAATGTAGTCGAAGTGAAAGGTCAGTGTCTCGTAGTTGTACTAGAAATTGTAGTCGAAGTGAAAGGTTCTGTTGTCTCGGTAGTTGTACTAGGAATTGTAGTCGAAGTAAAAGGTTCTGTTGTCTCGGTAGTTGTACTAGGTATTGTAGTCGAAGTGAAAGGTTCTGTTGTCTCGGTAGTTGTACTGTAAATTGTCGTCGATGTAAAGATTCTGTTGTCTCGGTAGTTGTACTAGGAATTGTAGTCGAAGTGAAAGGTTCGGTTGTCTCGGTAGTCGTACTAGGAATTGTAGTCGAAGTAAAAGGTTCTGTTGTCTCGGTATTGTACTAGGTATTGTAGTCGAAGTGAAAGGTTCGTTGTCTCGGTAGTTGTACTAGTATGTAGTCGAAGTAAAGTTCGTTGTCTCGTAGTTGTACTGTAAATGTCGTCGAGTGAAAGTTCTGTTGTCTCGGTAGTTGTACTAGGAATTGTAGTCGAAGTGAAAGGTTCGGTTGTCTCGGTAGTCGTACTAGGAATTGTAGTCGAAGTAAAAGTTCTGTTGTCTCGGTAGTTGTACTAGGTATTGTAGTCGAAGTAAAAGGTTCTGTTGTCTCGGTAGTTGTACTAGGTATTGTAGTCGAAGTGAAAGGTTCTGTTGTCTCGGTAGTTGTACTGTAAATTGTCGTCGAAGTGAAAGGTTCGGTTGTCTCGGTAGTGTACTAGAAACTGTAGTCGAAGTGAAAGGTTCTGTTGTCTCGGTAGTTGTACTAGGAATTGTAGTCGAAGTAAAAGGTTCTGTTGTCTCGGTAGTTGTACTAGGTATTGTAGTCGAAGTGAAAGGTTCTGTTGTCTCGGTAGTTGTACTGTAATTGTACGTCGAAGTAAAAGGTTCTGTTGTCTCGGTAGTTGTACTGTAAATTGACGTCGATGTGAAAGGTTCTGTTGTCTCGGTAGTTGTACTAGGAATTGTAGTCGAAGTGAAAGGTTCGGTTGTCTCGGTAGTCGTACTAGGAATTGTAGTCGAAGTGAAAGGTTCTGTTGTCTCGGTAGTTGTACTAGTAAATTGTACGTCGATGTGAAAGGTTCTGTTGTCTCGGTAGTTGTACTAGGAATTGTAGTCGAATAAAGGTTCGTTGTCTCGGTAGTGTACTAGAATGTAGTCGAAGTGAAAGGTTCTGTTGTCTCGGTAGTTGTACTGTAAATTGTCGTCGATGTGAAAGGTTCTGTTGTCTCGGTAGTTGTACTAGGAATTGTAGTCGAAGTGAAAGGTTCGGTTGTCTCGGTAGTCGTACTAGGAATTGTAGTCGAAGTAAAAGGTTCTGTTGTCTCGGTAGTTGTACTAGGTATTGTAGTCGAAGTAAAAGGTTCTGTTGTCTCGGTAGTTGTACTAGGTATTGTAGTCGAAGTGAAAGGTTCTGTTGTCTCGGTAGTTGTACTGTAAATTGTCGTCGATGTGAAAGGTTCTGTTGTCTCGGTAGTTGTACTAGGAATTGTAGTCGAAGTGAAAGGTTCAGTTGTCTCGGTAGTTGTACTAGAAATTGTAGTCGAAGTGAAAGGTTCGGTTGTCTCGGTAGTCGTACTAGGAATTGTAGTCGAAGTAAAAGGTTCTGTTGTCTCGGTAGTTGTACTAGTAATTGTAGTCGAAGTGAAAGGTTCTGTTGTCTCGGTAGTTGTACTAGTAATTGTAGTCGAAGTGAAAGGTTCTGTTGTCTCGGTAGTTGTACTAGAAATTGTAGTCGAAGTGAAAGGTTCTGTTGTCTCGGTAGTCGTACTAGGAATTGTAGTCGAAGTAAAAGGTTCTGTTGTCTCGGTAGTTGTACTAGGAATTGTAGTCGAAGTAAAAGGTTCTGTTGTCTCGGTAGTTGTACTAGGTAATTGTAGTCGAAGTGAAAGGTTCTGTTGTCTCGGTAGTTGTACTGTAATTGTAGTCGAAGTGAAAGGTTCTGTTGTCTCGGTAGTTGTACTAGGAATTGTAGTCGAAGTGAAAGTTTCGGTTGTCTCGGTAGTTGTACTAGGAATTGTAGTCGAAGTAAAAGGTTCTGTTGTCTCGGTAGTTGTACTAGAAATTGTAGTCGAAGTGAAAGGTTCTGTTGTCTCGGTAGTTGTACTGTAAATTGTCGTCGATGTGAAAGGTTCCGTTGTATCGGTAGTTGTACTAGGAATTGTAGTCGAAGTGAAAGGTTCTGGTTGTCTCGGTAGTTCGTACTAGGAATTGTAGTCGAAGTAAAAGGTTCTGTTGTCTCGGTAGTTGTACTAGGTATTGTAGTCGAAGTGAAAGGTTCTGTTGTCTCGGTAGTTGTACTGTAAAGCGAGTAATCGTTGCGGTATTCTGAAGTCGAAGAAAGGTTCTGTTGTCTCGGTAGTTGTACTGTAATTGTCGTCGATGTGAAAGGTTCTGTTGTCTCGGTAGTTGTACTAGGAATTGTAGTCGAAGTGAAAGGTTCGGTTGTCTCGGTAGTCGTACTAGGAATTGTAGTCGAAGTAAAAGGTTCTGTTGTCTCGGTAGTTGTACTAGGTATTGTAGTCGAAGTAAAAGGTTCTGTTGTCTCGGTAGTTGTACTAGTTTGTAGTCGAGTGAAAGGTTCTGTTGTCTCGGTAGTGTACTGTAATGTCGTCGAAGTGAAAGGTTCGTTGTCTCGTAGTCGTACTAGAATTGTAGTCGAAGTGAAAGGTTCTGTTGTCTCGGTAGTTGTACTAGGAATTGTAGTCGAAGTAAAAGGTTCTGTTGTCTCGGTAGTTGTACTAGGTATTGTAGTCGAAGTGAAAGGTTCTGTTGTCTCGGTAGTTGTACTGTAAATTGTCGTCGAAGTGAAAGGTTCGGTTGTCTCGGTAGTCGTACTAGGAATTGTAGTCGAAGTGAAAGGTTCTGTTGTCTCGGTAGTTGTACTGTAAATTGTCGTCGAAGTGAAAGGTTCTGTTGTCTCGGTAGTTGTACTAGGAATTGTAGTCGAAGTGAAAGGTTCTGTTGTCTCGGTAGTTGTACTAGGTATTGTAGTCGAAGTGAAAGGTTCTGTTGTCTCGGTAGTTGTACTGTAAATTGTCGTCGATGTGAAAGGTTCTGTTGTCTCGGTAGTTGTACTAGGAATTGTAGTCGAAGTAAAAGGTTCTGTTGTCTCGGTAGTTGTACTAGTAATTGTAGTCGAAGTGAAAGGTTCTGTTGTCTCGGTAGTTGTACTAGGAATTGTAGTCGAAGTGAAAGGTTCTGTTGTCTCGGTAGTTGTACTAGTATTGTAGTCGAAGTGAAAGGTTCTGTTGTCTCGGTAGTTGTACTGTAAATTGTACGTCGATGTGAAAGGTTCTGTTGTCTCGTAGTTGTACTAGGAATTGTAGTCGAAGTGAAAGGTTCTGTTGTCTCGGTAGTTGTACTAGGAATTGTAGTCGAAGTGAAAGGTTCGGTTGTCTCGGTAGTCGTACTAGGAATTGTAGTCGAAGTAAAAGGTTCGTTGTCTCGGTAGTTGTACTAGGTATTGTAGTCGAAGTAAAAGGTTCTGTTGTCTCGGTAGTTGTACTAGGTATTGTAGTCGAAGTGAAAGGTTCGTTCGGTTGATGTTGTCTCGGTGAAGGTTCGTCACGATTAAGGAATGTAGTCGAAGTAAAAGGTTCTGTTGTCTCGGTAGTTGTACTAGGAATTGTAGTCGAAGTAAAAGGTTCTGTTGTCTCGGTAGTTGTACTAGGTATTGTAGTCGAAGTGAAAGGTTCTGTTGTCTCGGTAGTTGTACTGTAAATTGTACGTCGAAGTGAAAGGTTCTGTTGTCTCGGTAGTTGTACTAGGAATTGTAGTCAAGTAAAGGTTCTCGTTGTACAGGTATGTAGTCGAGAAAGGTTCTGTTGTCTCGTAGTTGTACTAGTAATTGTAGTCGAAGTGAAAGGTTCTGTTGTCTCGGTAGTTGTACTGTAAATTGTCGTCGATGTGAAAGGTTCCGTTGTCTCGGTAGTTGTACTAGGTATTGTAGTCGAAGTGAAAGGTTCTGTTGTCTCGGTAGTTGTACTGTAAATTGTCGTCGATGTGAAAGGTTCTGTTGTCTCGGTAGTTGTACTAGGAATTGTAGTCGAAGTAAAAGGTTCTGTTGTCTCGGTAGTTGTACTAGGTATTGTAGTCGAAGTAAAAGGTTCTGTATGTCTCGGTAGTTGTACTAGTGTATTGTAGTCGAAGTGAAAGGTTCTGTTGTCTCGGTAGTTGTACTGTAAATGTCGTCGATGTGAAAGGTTCTGTTGTCTCGGTAGTTGTACTAGGAATTGTAGTCGAAGTGAAAGGTTCGGTTGTCTCGGTAGTCGTACTAGGAATTGTAGTCGAAGTAAAAGGTTCTGTTGTCTCGTAGTGTACTAGGTATTGTAGTCGAAGTAAAAGTTCTGTGTCTCGGTAGTTGTACTAGGTATTGTAGTCGAAGTGAAAGGTTCTGTTGTCTCGGTAGTTGTACTGTAAATTGTCGTCGATGTGAAAGGTTCTGTTGTCTCGGTAGTTGTACTAGGAATTGTAGTCGAAGTGAAAGGTTCTGTTGTCTCGGTAGTTGTACTAGAAATTGTAGTCGAAGTGAAAGGTTCGTTGTCTCGGTAGTCGTACTAGGAATTGTAGTCGAAGTAAAGGTTCTGTTGTCTCGGTAGTTGTACTAGAAATTGTAGTCGAAGTGAAAGGTTCGGTTGTCTCGGTAGTCGTACTAGGAATTGTAGTCGAAGTAAAAGGTTCTGTTGTCTCGGTAGTTGTACTAGGAATTGTAGTCGAAGTAAAAGGTTCTGTTGTCTCGGTAGTTGTACTAGGTATTGTAGTCGAAGTGAAAGGTTCTGTTGTCTCGGTAGTTGTACTAGGTAATTGTACGTCGAAGTGAAAGGTTCTGTTGTCTCGGTAGTTGTACTAGAAATTGTAGTCGAAGTGAAAGGTTCTGTTGTCTCGGTAGTTGTACTAGGAATTGTAGTCGAAGTAAAAGGTTCTGTTGTCTCGGTAGTTGTATACGATAGTTGCTGAGTGACGAATGTAGTCGAAGTAAAGGTTCGGTTGTCTCGGTAGTCGTACTAGGAATTGTAGTCGAGTAAGGTTCTGATTCGTATTGTACAGTATGTAGTCGAAGTAAAGATTCTGTTGTCTCGGTAGTTGTACTAGGTATTGTAGTCGAAGTGAAAGGTTCTGTTGTCTCGGTAGTTGTACTGTAAATAGTCGTCGATGTGAAAGGTTCGTTGTCTCGGTAGTTGTACTAGAAATTGTAGTCGAAGTGAAAGGTTCGGTTGTCTCGGTAGTCGTACTAGGACTTGTAGTCGAAGTAAAAGGTTCTGTTGTCTCGGTAGTTGTACTAGGTATTGTAGTCGAAGTGAAAGGTTCTGTTGTCTCGGTAGTTGTACTGTAAATAGTCGTCGATGTGAAAGGTTCCGTTGTCTCGGTAGTTGTACTAGAAATTGTAGTCGAAGTGAAAGGTTCGGTTGTCTCGGTAGTCGTACTAGGAACTGTAGTCGAAGTAAAAGGTTCTGTTGTCTCGGTAGTTGTACTAGGTATTGTAGTCGAAGTGAAAGGTTCTGTTGTCTCGGTAGTTGTACTGTAAATTGTCGTCAAAGTGAAAGGTTCGGTTGTCTCGGTAGTCGTACTAGGAACTGTAGTCGAAGTAAAAGGTTCTGTTGTCTCGGTAGTTGTACTAGGAATTGTAGTCGAAGTAAAAGGTTCTGTTGTCTCGGTAGTTGTACTAGGTATTGTAGTCGAAGTGAAAGGTTCTGTTGTCTCGGTAGTTGTACGTAATCGTCGAAGTAAAGTCTGTGCTCGATGTACGGATGACGTCGATGTGAAAGGTTCTGTTGTCTCGGTAGTTGTACTAGGAATTGTAGTCGAAGTGAAAGGTTCGGTTGTCTCGGTAGTCGTACTAGGAATTGTAGTCGAAGTAAAAGGTTCTGTTGTCTCGGTAGTTGTACTAGGTATTGTAGTCGAAGTAAAAGGTTCTGTTGTCTCGGTAGTTGTACTACGTGTTGTAGTCGAAGTGAAAGGTTCTGTTGTCTCGGTAGTTGTACTGTAAATTGTCGTCGATGTGAAAGGTTCTGTTGTCTCGGTAGTTGTACTAGGAATTGTAGTCGAAGTGAAAGGTTCAGTTGTCTCGGTAGTTGTACTAGAAATTGTAGTCGAAGTGAAAGGTTCGGTTGTCTCGGTAGTCGTACTAGGAATTGTAGTCGAAGTAAAAGTTCTGTTGTCTGTAGTTGTACTAGGTATTGTAGTCGAAGTGAAAGGTTCTGTTGTCTCGGCAGTTGTACTGTAAATAGTCGTCGATGTGAAAGGTTCGTTGTCTCGGTAGTTGTACTAGAAATGTAGTCGAAGTGAAAGGTTCGTTGTCTCGGTAGTCGTACTAGGAATTGTAGTCGAAGTATAAGGTTCTATTGTCTCGGTAGTTGTACTGTAAATTGTCGTCGAAGTAAAAGGTTCTGTTGTCTCGGTAGTTGTACTGTAGATTGAAGTCGATGTGAAAGGTTCTGTTGTTTCGGTAGTTGTACTAGGAATTGTAGTCGAAGTGAAAGGTTCGGTTGTCTCGGTAGTCGTACTAGGAATTGTAGTCGAAGTAAAAGGTTCTGTTGTCTCGGTAGTTGTACTAGGAATTGTAGTCGAAGTGAAAGGTTCGGTTGTCTCGGTAGTCGTACTAGGAATTGTAGTCGAAGTGAAAGGTTCTGTTGTCCTCGGTAGTTGTACTGTAATTGTCGTCAATGTGAACGGTTCTGTTGTCTCGGTAGTTGTACTAGGAATTGTAGTCGAAGTGAAAGGTTCGGTTGTCTCGGTAGTCGTACTAGGAATTGTAGTCGAAGTGAAAGGTTCGGTTGTCTCGGTAGTCGTACTAGGAATTGTAGTCGAAGTGAAAGTTCGTTGTCTCGGAGTGTACTAGGTATTGTAGTCGAAGTAAAGTTCTGTTGTCTCGGTAGTTGTACTAGTATTGTAGTCGAAGTAAAGGTTCTGTTGTCTCGGTAGTTGTACTAGGTATTGTAGTCGAAGTGAAAGGTTCTGTTGTCTCGGTAGTTGTACTAGGTAAATTGTCGTCGAAGTGAAAGGTTCTGTTGTCTCGGTAGTTGTACTAGGAATTGTAGTCGAAGTGAAAGGTTCTGTTGTCTCGGTAGTTGTACTAGGAATTGTAGTCGAAGTGAAAGGTCTGTTGTCTCGGTATTGTACTAGGATTGTAGTCGAAGTAAAAGGTTCTGTTGTCTCGGTAGTTGTACTAGGTATTGTAGTCGAAGTGAAAGGTTCTGTTGTCTCGGTAGTTGTACTAGGTAAATTGTAGTCGAAGTGAAAGGTTCTGTTGTCTCGGTAGTTGTACTAGGAATTGTAGTCGAAGTGAAAGGTTCTGTTGTCTCGGTAGTTGTACTAGGAATTGTAGTCGAAGTGAAAGGTTCTGTTGTCTCGGTAGTCTGTACGTAGTAACTGTATTGTCGAAGTCGAAGTAAAAGGTTCTGTTGTCTCGGTAGTTGTACTAGGTATTGTAGTCGAAGTGAAAGGTTCTGTTGTCTCGGTAGTTGTACTAGGAATTGTAGTCGAAGTGAAAGGTTCTGTTGTCTCGGTAGTTGTACTAGGATTGTAGTCGAAGTAAAGGTTCTGTTGTCTCGGTATTGTACTAGTATGTAGTCGAAGTAAAGTTCTGTTGTCTCGGTAGTTGTACTAGAATTGTAGTCGAAGTGAAAGGTTCTGTTGTCTCGGTAGTTGTACTAGGAATTGTAGTCGAAGTGAAAGGTTCTGTTGTCTCGGTAGTTGTACTAGGAATTGTAGTCGAAGTAAAAGGTTCTGTTGTCTCGGTAGTTGTACTAGGTATTGTAGTCGAAGTGAAAGGTTCTGTTGTCTCGGTAGTTGTACTGTAATTGTCGTCGAAGTGAAAGGTTCTGTTGTCTCGGTAGTTGTACTAGTAATTGTAGTCGAAGTGAAAGGTTCTGTTGTCTCGGTAGTTGTACTAGGAATTGTAGTCGAAGTGAAAGGTTCGTTGTCTCGGTAGTCGTACTAGGAATTGTAGTCGAAGTAAAAGGTTCTGTTGTCTCGGTAGTTGTACTAGGTATTGTAGTCGAAGTAAAAGGTTCTGTTGTCTCGGTAGTTGTACTAGGTATTGTAGTCGAAGTGAAAGGTTCTGTTGTCTCGGTAGTTGTACTGTAAATTGTAGTCGAAGTGAAAGGTTCTGTTGTCTCGGTAGTTGTACTAGGTATTGTAGTCGAAGTGAAAGGTTCTGTGTCTCGGTAGTTGTACTAGGAATTGTAGTCGAAGTGAAAGGTTCTGTTGTCTCGGTAGTTGTACTAGGAATTGTAGTCGAAGTAAAAGGTTCTGTTGTCTCGGTAGTTGTACTAGGTATTGTAGTCGAAGTGAAAGGTTCTGTTGTCTCGGTAGTTGTACTGAGGATATTGTAGTCGAAGTGAAAGGTTCTGTTGTCTCGGTAGTTGTACTAGGAATTGTAGTCGAAGTAAAGGTTCTGTTGTCTCGGTAGTTGTACTAGTAATTGTAGTCGAAGTAAAAGGTTCTGTTGTCTCGGTAGTTGTACTAGGAATTGTAGTCGAAGTGAAAGGTTCTGTTGTCTCGGTAGTTGTACTAGGAATTGTAGTCGAAGTGAAAGGTTCTGTTGTCTCGGTAGTTGTACTAGGAATTGTAGTCGAAGTAAAAGGTTCTGTTGTCTCGGTAGTTGTACTAGGTATTGTAGTCGAAGTGAAAGGTTCTGTTGTCTCGGTAGTTGTACTAGGTATTGTAGTCGAAGTGAAAGGTTCTGTTGTCTCGGTAGTTGTACTAGAAATTGTAGTCGAAGTGAAAGGTTCTGTTGTCTCGGTAGTTGTACTAGGTAAATTGTAGTCGAAGTGAAAGGTTCTGTTGTCTCGGTAGTTGTACTGTAGACGTAAAGGTTGTGTCTCGAGTTGTACTGAATTGTCGAAGTAAAGTTCTGTTGTCTCGGTAGTTGTACTAGGATTGTAGTCGAAGTAAAAGGTTCTGTTGTCTCGGTAGTTGTACTAGAATTGTAGTCGAAGTAAAGGTTCTGTTGTCTCGGTAGTTGTACTAGGATTGTAGTCGAAGTGAAAGGTTCGTGTCTCGGTATGTACTACGGTAAAGGTTCTGTACTCTAGGACTAATTGTAGTCGAAGTGAAAGGTTCTGTTGTCTCGGTAGTTGTACTAGAATTGTAGTCGAAGTGAAAGGTTCTGTTGTCTCGGTAGTTGTACTAGGAATTGTAGTCGAAGTAAAAGGTTCTGTTGTCTCGGTAGTTGTACTAGGAATTGTAGTCGAAGTAAAAGGTTCTGTTGTCTCGGTAGTTGTACTAGTATTGTAGTCGAAGTGAAAGGTTCTGTTGTCTCGGTAGTTGTACTAGAATTGTAGTCGAAGTGAAAGGTTCTGTTGTCTCGGTAGTTGTACTAGGAATTGTAGTCGAAGTGAAAGGTTCTGTTGTCTCGGTAGTTGTACTAGAAATTGTAGTCGAAGTGAAAGGTTCGGTTGTCTCGGTAGTCGTACTAGGAATTGTAGTCGAAGTAAAAGGTTCTGTTGTCTCGGTAGTTGTACTAGGTAATTGTAGTCGAAGTGAAAGGTTCTGTTGTCTCGGTAGTTGTACTAGAAATTGTAGTCGATGTGAAAGGTTCTGTTGTCTCGTAGTTGTACTAGGAATTGTAGTCGAAGTGAAAGGTTCGGTTGTCTCGGTAGTTGTACTAGAATTGTAGTCGAAGTGAAAGGTTCGTTGTCTCGGTAGTACAGATTGTACGAAGTAAAGGTTGTCTCGTAGTACTAGATGTACGAAGAAAGTTCTGTTGTCTCGGTAGTTGTACTAGGTATTGTAGTCGAAGTGAAAGGTTCTGTTGTCTCGGTAGTTGTACTTAAATGTCGTCGAAGTGAAAGGTTCTGTTGTCTCGGTAGTTGTACTAGGAATTGTAGTCGAAGTGAAAGGTTCGGTTGTCTCGGTAGTCGTACTAGGAATTGTAGTCGAAGTAAAAGGTTCTGTTGTCTCGGTAGTTGTACTAGGAATTGTAGTCGAAGTGAAAGGTTCTGTTGTCTCGGTAGTTGTACTAGTAAATAGTCGTCGAAGTGAAAGGTTCCGTTGTCTCGGTAGTTGTACTAGAAATTGTAGTCGAAGTGAAAGGTTCGGTTGTCTCGGTAGTGTACTAGGAATGTAGTCGAAGTAAAAGGTTCTGTTGTCTCGGTAGTTGTACTAGGTATTGTAGTCGAAGTGAAAGGTTCTGTTGTCTCGGTAGTGTACTGTAATTGTCGTCAAGTGAAAGGTTCGGTTGTCTCGGTAGTCGTACTAGGAATTGTAGTCGAAGTAAAAGGTTCTGTTGTCTCGGTAGTTGTACTAGGAATTGTAGTCGAAGTAAAAGGTTCTGTTGTCTCGGTAGTTGTACTAGGTATTGTAGTCGAAGTGAAAGGTTCTGTTGTCTCGGTAGTTGTACTGTAAATTGTCGTCGATGTAAAGGTTCTGTTGTCTCGGTAGTTGTACTAGGAATTGTAGTCGAAGTGAAAGGTTCGGTTGTCTCGGTAGTCGTACTAGGAATTGTAGTCGAAGTGAAAGGTTCTGTTGTCTCGGTAGTTGTACTAGGTATTGTAGTCGAAGTAAAAGGTTCTGTTGTCTCGGTAGTTGTACTAGGTATTGTAGTCGAAGTAAAAGGTTCTGTTGTCTCGGTAGTTGTACTAGGTATTGTAGTCGAAGTGAAAGGTTCTGTTGTCTCGGTAGTTGTACTAGTAATTGTAGTCGATGTGAAAGATTCTGTTGTCTCGGTAGTTGTACTAGGAATTGTAGTCGAAGTGAAAGGTTCTGTTGTCTCGGTAGTTGTACTAGGAATTGTAGTCGAAGTAAAAGGTTCTGTTGTCTCGGTAGTTGTACTAGGTATTGTAGTCGAAGTGAAAGGTTCTGTTGTCTCGGTAGTTGTACTGTAAATTGTCGTCGAAGTAAAAGGTTCTGTTGTCTCGGTAGTTGTACTGTAGATTGACGTCGATGTGAAAGGTTCTGTTGTCTCGGTAGTTGTACTGGGAATTGTAGTCGAAGTGAAAGGTTCGGTTGTCTCGGTAGTCGTACTAGGAATTGTAGTCGAAGTAAAAGGTTCTGTTGTCTCGGTAGTTGTACTAGGTATTGTAGTCGAAGTAAAAGGTTCTGTTGTCTCGGTAGTTGTACTACGTGTTGTAGTCGAAGTGAAAGGTTCTGTTGTCTCGGTAGTTGTACTGTAAATTGTCGTCGATGTGAAAGGTTCTGTTGTCTCGGTAGTTGTACTAGGAATTGTAGTCGAAGTGAAAGGTTCAGTTGTCTCGGTAGTTGTACTAGAAATTGTAGTCGAAGTGAAAGGTTCGGTTGTCTCGGTAGTCGTACTAGGAATTGTAGTCGAAGTAAAAGGTTCTGTTGTCTTAGTAGTTGTACTAGGTATTGTAGTCGAAGTGAAAGTTTCTGTTGTCTCGGTAGTTGTACTGTAAATAGTCGTCGATGTGAAAGGTTCCGTTGTCTCGGTAGTTGTACTAGAAAATGTAGTCGAAGTGAAAGGCTCGGTTGTCTCGGTAGTCGTACTAGGAATTGTAGTCGAAGTAAAAGGTTCTGTTGTCTCGGTAGTTGTACTGTAAATTGTCGTCGAAGTAAAAGGTTCTGTTGTCTCGGTAGTTGTACTGTAAATAGTCGTCGATGTGAAAGGTTCGTTGTCTCGGTAGTTGTACTAGGAATTGTAGTCGAAGTGAAAGGTTCGGTTGTCTCGGTAGTCGTACTAGGAATTGTAGTCGAAGTAAAAGGTTCTGTTGTCTCGGTAGTTGTACTAGGAATTGTAGTCGAAGTGAAAGGTTCGGTTGTCTCAGTAGTCGTACTAGGAATTGTAGTTGAAGTAAAAGGTTCTGTTGTCTCAGTAGTTGTACTAGGAATTGTAGTCGAAGTGAAAGGTTCGGTTGTCTCGGTAGTCGTACTAGGAATTGTAGTCGAAGTGAAAGGTTCTGTTGTCTCGGTAGTTGTACTGTAAATTGTCGTCAATGTGAGCGTTCTGTTGTCTTGGTAGTTGTACTAGGAATTGTAGTCGAAGTGAAAGGTTCGGTTGTCTCGGAAGTCGTACTAGGTATTGTAGTCGAAGTGAAAAGTTCGGTTGTCTCGGTAGTCGTACTAGGAATTGTAGTCGAAGTGAAAGGTTCTGTTGTCTCGGTAGTTGTACTGTAAATTGTCGTCGATGTGAACGGTTCTGTTGTATCGGTAGTTGTACTAGGAATTGTAGTCGAAGTGAAACGTTCGGTTGTCTCGGCAGTCGTACTAGGAATTATAGTCGAAGTAAAAGATTCTGTTGTCTCGGTAGTTGTACTAGGTATTGTAGTCGAAGTGACAGGTTCTGTTGTATCGGTAGTTGTACTAGGAATTGTAGTCGAAGTGAAAGGTTCTGTTGTTTCGGTAGTTGTACTAGGAATTGTAGTCGAAGTGAAAGGTTCGGTTGTATCGGTAGTCGTACTAGGAATTGTAGTCGAAGTAAAAGGTTCTGTTGTCTCGGTAGTTGTACTAGGAATTGTAGTCGAAGTGAAAGGTTCGGTTGTCTCGGTAGTCGTACTACGAATTGTAGTTGAAGTAAAAGGTTCTGTTGTCTCCGTAGTTGTACTAGGTATTGTAGTCGAAGTGAAAGGTTCTGTTGTCTCGGTAGTTGTACTAGGAATTGTAGTCGAAGTGAAAGGTTCGGTTGTCTCGGTAGTCGTACTAGGAATTGTAGTCGAAGTGAAAGGTTCTGTTGTCTCGGTAGTTGTACTGTAAATTGTCGTCAATGTGAACGGTTCTGTTGTCTTGGTAGTTGTACTAGGAATTGTAGTCGAAGTGAAACGTTCGGTTGTCTCGGAAGTCGTACTAGGAATTATAGTCGAAGTAAAAGATTCTGTTGTCTCGGTAGTTGTACTAGGTATTGTAGTCGAAGTGACAGGTTCTGTTGTCTCGGTAGTTGTACTAGAAATTGTAGTCGAAGTGAAAGGTTTGGTTGTCTCGGTAGTTGTACTAGGTATTGTAGTCGAAGTGAAAGGTTCTGTTGTCTTGGTAGTTGTACTAGGAATTGTAGTCGAAGTGAAACGTTCGGTTGTCTCGGTAGTCGTACTAGGAATTGTAGTCGAAGTTAAAGGTTCTGTTGTCTCGGTAGTTGTACTAGGTATTGTAGTCGAAGTAAAAGGTTCTGTTGTCTCAGTAGTTGTACTAGGTATTGTAGTCGAAGTAAAAGTTTCTGTTGTCTCGGTAGTTGTACTAGGTATTGTAGTCGAAGTGAAAGGTTCTGTTGTCTTGGTAGTTGTACTGTAAATTGTCGTCGATGTGAAAGATTCTGTTGTCTCGGTAGTTGTACACGGAATTGTAGTCGAAGTGAAAGGTTCGATTGTCTCGGTAGTCATACTAGGAATTGTAGTCGAAGTAAAAGGTTCTGTTGTCTCGGTAGTTGTACTAGGTATTGTAGTCGAAGTAAAAGGTTCTGTTGTCTCGGTAGTTGTACTAGGTATTGTAGTCGAAGTGAAAGGTTCTGTTGTCTCGGTAGTTGTACTGTAAATTGTCGTTGATGTGAAAGGTTCTGTTGTCTCGGTAGTTGTACTAGGAATTGTAGTCGAAGTAAAAGGTTTTGTTGTCTCGGTAGTCGTACTAGGAATTGTAGACGAAGTAAAAGGTTCTGTTGTCTCGGTAGTTGTACTAGGTATTGTAGTCGAAGTAAAAGGTTCTGTTGTCTCGGTAGTTGTACTAGGTATTGTAGTCGAAGTAAAAGGTTCTGTTGTCTGGGTAGTTGTACTGGGTATTGTAGTCGAAGTGAAAGGTTCTGTTGTCTCGGTAGTTGTACTGTAAATTGTCGTCGATGTGAAAGGTTCTGTTGTCTCGGTAGTTGTACTAGGAATTGTAGTCGAAGTGAAAGGTTCGGTTGTCTCGGTAGTTGTACTAGGAATTGTAGTCGAAGTGAAAGGTTCGGTTGTCTCGGTAGTCGTACTAGGAATTGTAGTCGAAGTAAAAGGTTCTGTTGTCTCGGTAGTTGTACTAGGAATTGTAGTCGAAGTGAAAGGTTCTGTTGTCTCAGTAGTCGTACTAGGAATTGTAGTTGAAGTAAAAGGTTCTGTTGTCTCGGTAGTTGTACTAGGTATTGTAGTCGAAGTGAAAGGTTCTGTTGTCTCGGTAGTTGTACTAGGAATTGTAGTCGAAGTGAAAGGTTCGGTTGTCTCGGTAGTCGTACTAGGAATTGTAGTCGAAGTGAAAGGTTCTGTTGTCTCGGTAGTTGTACTGTAAATTGTCGTCAATGTGAACGGTTCTGTTGTCTTGGTAGTTGTACTAGGAATTGTAGTCGAAGTGAAAGTTTCGGTTGTCTCAGTAGTTGTACTAGGTATTGTAGTCGAAGTAAAAGGTTCTGTTGTCTCGGTAGTTGTACTAGGAATTGTAGTCGAAGTGAAAGGTTCTGTTGTTTCGGTAGTTGTACTAGGAATTGTAGTCGAAGTGAAAGGTTCGGTTGTCTCGGTAGTCGTACTGGGAATTGTAGTCGAAGTAAAAGGTTCTGTTGTCTCGGTAGTTGTACTAGGAATTGTAGTCGAAGTGAAAGGTTCGGTTGTCTCAGTAGTCGTACTAGGAATTGTAGTTGAAGTAAAAGGTTCTGTTGTCTCGGTAGTTGTACTAGGTATTGTAGTCGAAGTGAGAGGTTTTGTTGTCTCGGTAGTTGTACTAGGAATTGTAGTCGAAGTGAAAGGTTCGGTTGTCTCGGTAGTCGTACTAGGAATTGTAGTCGAAGTGAAAGGTTCTGTTGTCTCGGTAGTTGTACTGTAAATTGTCGTCAATGTGAACGGTTCTGTTGTCTTGGTAGTTGTACTAGGAATTGTAGTCGAAGTGAAAGGTTCGGTTGTCTCGGTAGTCGTACTAGGAATTGTAGTCGAAGTAAAAGGTTCTGTTGTCTCGGTAGTTGTACTAGGAATTGTAGAAGAAGTAAAAGGTTCGGTTGTCTCGGTAGTCGTACTAGGAATTGTAGTCGAAGTGAAAGGTTCTGTTGTCTCGGTAGTTGTACTGTAAATTGTCGTCAATGTGAACGGTTCTGTTGTCTTGGTAGTTGTACTAGGAATTGTAGTCGAAGTGAAAGGTTCGGTTGTCTCGGAAGTCGTACTAGGTATTGTAGTCGAAGTGAAAGGTTCGGTTGTCTCGGTAGTCGTACTAGGAATTGTAGTCGAAGTGAAAGGTTCTGTTGTCTCGGTAGTTGTACTGTAAATTGTCGTCGATGTGAACGGTTCTGTTGTATCGGTAGTTGTACTAGGAATTGTAGTCGAAGTGAAACGTTCGGTTGTCTCGGCAGTCGTACTAGGAATTATAGTCGAAGTAAAAGATTCTGTTGACTCGGTAGTTGTACTAGGTATTGTAGTCAAAGTGACAGGTTCTGTTGTCTCGGTAGTTGTACTAGAAATTGTAGTCGAAGTGAAAGGTTCGGTTGTCTCGGTAGTTGTACTAGGTATTGTAGTCGAAGTGAAAGGTTCTGTTGTCTCGGTAGTTGTACTAGGAATTGTAGTCGAAGTGAAAGGTTCGGTTGTCTCGGTAGTGGTACTAGGAATTGTAGTCGAAGTTAAAGGTTCTGTTGTCTCGGTAGTTGTACTATGTATTGTAGTCGAAGTAAAAGGTTCTGTTGTCTCAGTAGTTGTACTAGGTATTGTAGTCGAAGTAAAAGATTCTGTTGTCTCGGTAGTTGTACTAGGTATTGTAGTCGAAGTGAAAGGCTCTGTTGTCTTGGTAGTTGTACTGTAAATTGTCGTCGATGTGAAAGATTCTGTTGTCTCGGTAGTTGTACTAGGAATTGTAGTCGAAGTGAAAGGTTCGATTGTCTCGGTAGTCGTACTAGGAATTGTAGTCGAAGTAAAAGGTTCTGTTGTCTCGGTAGTTGTACTAGGTATTGTAGTCGAAGTAAAAGGTTCTGTTGTCTCGGTAGTTGTACTAGGTATTGTAGTCGAAGTGAAAGGTTCTGTTGTCTCGGTAGTTGTACTGTAAATTGTCGTCGATGTGAAAGGTTCTGTTGTCTCGGTAGTTGTACTAGGAATTGTACTCGAAGTAAAAGGTTCGGTTGTCTCGGTAGTCGTACTAGGAATTGTAGTCGAAGTAAAAGGTTCTGTTGTCTCGGTAGTTGTACTAGGTATTGTAGTCGAAGTAAAAGGTTCTGTTGTCTCGGTAGTTGTACTAGGTATTGTAGTCGAAGTGAAAGGTTCTGTTGTCATGGTAGTTGTACTAGGAATTGTAGTCGAAGTAAAAGGTTCTGTTGTCTCGGTAGTTGTACTAGGTATTGTAGTCGAAGTGACAGGTTCTGTTGTCTCGGTATTTGTACTAGAAATTGTCGTCGATGTGAAAGATTCTGTTGTCTCGGTAGTTGTACTAGGAATTGTAGTCGAAGTGAAAGGTTCGGTTGTCTCGGTAGTTGTACTAGGTATTGTAGTCGAAGTAAAAGGTTCGGTTGTCTCAGTAGTTGTACTAGGTATTGTAGTCGAAGTGAAAGGTTCTGTTGTCTCGGTAGTTGTACTAGGTATTGTAGTCGAAGTGAAAGGTTCTGTTGTCTCAGTAGTTGTACTATAAATTGTCGTCGATGTGAAAGATTCTGTTGTTTCGGTAGTTGTACTAGGAATTGTAGTCGAAGTGAAAGGTTCGGTTGTCTCGGTAGTCGTACTAGGAATTGTAGTCGAAGTAAAAGGTTCTGTTGTCTCGGTAGTTGTACTAGGTATTGTAGTCGAAGTAAAAGGTTCGGTTGTCTCAGTAGTTGTACTAGGTATTGTAGTCGAAGTAAAAGGTTCTGTTGTCTCGGTAGTTGTACTAGGTATTGTAGTCGAAGTAAAAGGTTCTGTTGTCTCGGTAGTTGTACTAGGTATTGTAGTCGAAGTGAAAGGTTCGGTTGTCTCGGTAGTCGTACTAGAAATTGTAGTCGAAGTAAAAGGTTCTGTTGTCTCGGTAGTTGTATTAGGTATTGTAGTCGAAGTGAAAGGTTCTGTTGTCTCGGTAGTTGTACTGTAAATTGTCGTCGATGTGAAAGGTTCTGTTGTCTCGGTAGTTGTACTAGGAATTGTAGTCGAAGTAAAAGGTTCTGTTGTCTCGGTAGTTGTACTAGATATTGTAGTCGAAGTGAAAGGTTCTGTTGTCTCGGTAGTTGTACTGTAAATTGTCGTCGATGTGAAAGATTCTGTTGTTTCGGTAGTTGTACTGTAGATTGACGTCGATGTGAAAGGTTCTGTTGTCTCGGTAGTTGTACTGGGAATTGTAGTCGAAGTGAAAGGTTCGGTTGTCTCGGTAGTCGTACTAGGAATTGTAGTCGAAGTAAAAGGTTCTGTTGTCTCGGTAGTTGTACTAGGTATTGTAGTCGAAGTAAAAGGTTCTGTTGTCTCGGTAGTTGTACTAGGTATTGTAGTCGAAGTGAAAGGTTCTGTTGTCTCGGTAGTTGTACTGTAAATTGTCGTCGATGTGAAAGGTTCTGTTGTCTCGGTAGTTGTACTAGGAGTTGTAGTCGAAGTGAAAGGTTCAGTTGTCTCGGTGGTTGTACTAGAGATTGTAGTCGAAGTGAAAGGTTCGGTTGTCTCGGTAGTCGTACTAGGAATTGTAGTCGAAGTAAAAGGTTCTGTTCTCTTAGTAGTTGTACTAGGTATTGTAGTCGAAGTAAAAGGTTCTGTTGTCTCGGTAGTTGTACTAGGAATTGTAGTCGAAGTAAAAGGTTCTGTTGTCTCGGTAGTTGTACTAGATATTGTAGTCGAAGTGAAAGGTTCTGTTGTCTCGGTAGTTGTACTGTAAATTGTCGTCGATGTGAAAGATTCTGTTGTTTCGGTAGTTGTACTGTAGATTGACGTCGATGTGAAAGGTTCTGTTGTCTCGGTAGTTGTACTGGGAATTGTAGTCGAAGTGAAAGGTTCGGTTGTCTCGGTAGTCGTACTAGGAATTGTAGTCGAAGTAAAAGGTTCTGTTGTCTCGGTAGTTGTACTAGGTATTGTAGTCGAAGTAAAAGGTTCTGTTGTCTCGGTAGTTGTACTAGGTATTGTAGTCGAAGTGAAAGGTTCCGTTGTCTCGGTAGTTGTACTAGGTATTGTAGTCGAAGTGAAAGGTTCTGTTGTCTCGGTAGTCGTACTAGGAACTGTAGTCGAAGTAAAAGGTTCTGTTGTCTCGGTAGTTGTACTGTAAATTGTCGTCGAAGTGAAAGGTTCGGTTGTCTCGGTAGTCGTACTAGGAATTGTAGTCGAAGTAAAAGGTTCTGTTGTCTCGGTAGTTGTACTAGGTATTGTAGTCGAAGTGAAAGGTTCTGTTGTCTCGGTAGTTGTACTGTAAATTGTCGTCGATGTGAAAGGTTCTGTTGTCTCGGTAGTTGTACTAGGTATTTTAGTCGAAGTGAAAGGTTCTGTTGTCTTGGTGGTTGTACTGTAAATTGTCGTCGATGTGAAAGGTTCTGTTGTCTCGGAAGTTGTGCTAGGAATTGTAGTCGAAGTGAAAGGTTCGGTTGTCTCCTTAGTCGTACTAGGAACTGTAGTCGAAGTAAAAGGTTCTGTTGTCTCGGTAGTTGTACTAGGTATTGTGTTCGAAGTGAAAGGCTCGGTTGTCTCGGTAGTTGTACTGTAAATTGTCGTCGATGTGAAAGGTTCTGTTGTCTCGGTAGTTGTACTAGGAATTGTAGTCGAAGTGAAAAGTTCGGTTGTCTCGGTAGTCGTACTAGGAACTATAGTTGAAGTAAAAGGTTCTGTTGTCTCGGTAGTTGTACTAGGTATTGTAGTCGAAGTGAAAGGTTCTGTTGTCTCGGTAGTTGTACTGTAAATTGTCGTCGATGTGAAAGTTTCTGTTGTCTCGGTAGTTGTACTAGAAATTGTAGTCGAAGTGAAAGGTTCGGTTGTCTCGGTAGTCGTACTAGAAATTGTAGTTGAAGTAAAAGGTTCTGTTGTCTCGGTAGTCGTACTAGGAATTGTAGTCGAAGTAAAAAGTTCTGTTGTCTTGGTAGTTGTACTAGGAATTGTAGTCGAAGTGAAAGGTTCTGTTGTCTCGGTAGTTGTACTAGAAATTGTAGTCGAAGTGAAAGGTTCTGTTGTCTCAGAATGTGTACTGTAAATTGTCGTCGATGTGAAAGGTTCTGTTGTCTCGGTAGTTTTACTAGGAATTGTAGTCGAAATGAAAGGTTCGGTTGTCTCGGTAGTTGTATTAGGAGTTGTAGTCGAAGTGAAAGTTTCAGTTGTCTCAGAAAGTATGCTGTACATTGTCGTTGATGTGAAAGGTTCTGTTGTCTCGGTAGTTGTACTAGCAATTGTAGTCGAAGTGAAAGGTACAGTTGTCTCGGTAGTTGTACTAGAAATTGTAGTCGAAATTAAAGGTTCAGTTGTCTCAGAAGGTGTACTGTAAATTGTCGTTGATGTGAAAGGTTCTGTTGTCTCGGTAGTTGTACTAGGAATTGTAGTCGAAGTGAAAGGTACATTTGTCTCGGTAGTTGTACTAGGAATTGTAGTCGAAGTAAAAATTTTGGTTGTCTCAGAAGGTGTGCTGTAAATTGTCGTCGATGTGAAAAGTTCTGTTGTCTCGGTAGTTGTATTAGGAATTGTAGTCGAAGTGAAAGGTACATTTGTCTCGGTAGTTGTACTAGGAATTGTAGTCGAAGATAAAAGTTCAGTTGTCTCAGAAGGTGTACTGTTAATCGTCGTCGATGTGAAAGGTTCTGTCGTCTCGGTAGTGGTACTAGGAATTGTAGTCGAAGTAAAAGTTTCTGTTGTCTCAGAAGGTATGCTGTAAATTGTCGTCGATGTGAAGGTCTCTGTTGTCTCGGTAGTTGTGCTTGGAATTGTAGTCGAAGTTAAAGATTCAGTTGTCTCAGAAGGTGAACTGTAAATTGTCGTCGATGTGAAAGGTTCTGTTGTCTCGGTAGTTGTACTGTAAATTGTCGTCGATGTGAAAGGTTCTGTTGTCTCGGTAGTTGTACTAGGAATTGTAGTCGAAGTTAAAGATTCAGTTGTCTCAGAAGTTGAACTGGGAATTGTAGTCGAAGTGAAAGTTTCAGTTGTCTCTGGAGTTGTACTGGGAATTGTAGTCGAAGTGATAGGTGTTGTTGTCTCGGTAGTTGTTCTAGGAATTGTAGTCGATGTGAAAGATTTAGTTGTCTCACGAGTTGTACTGGAAATTGTAGTTGAAGTGGAAGGTTCTGTTGTCTTAAGGATGTTGTCTGTTGAAGGGATCTTCAAAATAGTCGTTTTTGTTGAATCTGTAGATAAACTTGATTCGACAGCCCTATCTCTTATTGTTGGTCTGCTTATTGTCAATTTATCAATATGTGATGAGGTCGTGGCAGTAAATAAATAAGTTTTTGGATTGTAGCTTCTTGTTGTACTATTTTGTGTTAAGGCTGCTTTCGTTGAAGTACTTGATGGTGTCGAAGTATATGTTATTGTTGCATGGGTCTCTGGAACGTTAGTAATAGTCGTAGCAATTGCAGATGTTGAGACTACTACCGGTTTAACACTTGATTGATTTAATATAGAATTTACTTCATTTTCTGTTGGTGAAGTAAACCTGGACAATGGATAGTCTACTTTTTTGGTATTTTTTTTGTTTGTATCAGATTTGTTTGAATAAGTAGTAACTCCAAATTCGATATTTGCAGTTGAGGGTAAGTTGGTCGTTGTATTCTTCAATGAGGGTTTTTTCTTTTTTGTGCTTGACGAGTTGTCTGATAAGCTCTTGTCACTTTTGAAGTTCTTTGTTTTACTCACTGAAGATTGTGGTTGATAATTAGATTCTACAAAATATTTAGTTGCTTTATTATATTAATTTAAGTAAATTAATTTAGATTTGTTAAAAAAAACTTTAATTTTTGATTTTTTTTTTGAAGAAAATACATAAATATATCAAATATACCATTCTGCAATATCAAAAAATATTAAGATCAATTTATTATTATTATTATTATTATCCAGATTTAGCCATACGGCTCACACTCCCTCTAAGGGGAAAATTCACTCATCCCAGATACCTACGGTATCAAAAGGATTGGGCTCTGGTGGAACTCTTTCCATGTTATCGAGTCCTAGGTGACTTGATACGTCGGTGTATCTCCTAAAAATTTTCGTACGCATCTGGACGTCGAAAGTAGCACAGCTTTCTGCATGACCTTATATAGATGTTCATTTAGACCCAGCTTTTTTATGTTCTCTAGGAGGTTCTTCGGAATGACTCCAGTGGTAGGTATCGTCTGGGTACTTTCCATTCTCCATTGTCTTCTTATTTGTATTTTTAGATCTCTGTACTTGGCGATCTTTTCGTTGTACTTAACACCCAGATTATTGTTGTTAGGTATCGCCACATCGATTAGAGTTGTTTATCTTGTTAGCTTATTAACTAGCACGAGATCTGGTCTATTATGTGCTACCGTTTGGTCTGTCAGCACAGTGCGATCCCAGTATAGCTTGTAGTTGCCATTCTCAAGCATACTCTCAGAAACGTATTGATAATATGGGGGATGGTTTGTTTGTAGAAGTCCCAGTTTAAAAGCTATCTCTTGATGGAGGATCTTCCCTACTGAGTCATGCCGTTCCTTATATTCAGTTACAGCAAATGCCTGGCAGCCACCGGTAAGATGCTGGATCGTTTCTTGGGCTTGACATCCATATCGGCATTTGTCGTTTTGGACCTGAGGGTCTTTGACGATATATTTTATGTAATTTTTGGTTGGTATAACCTGATCCTGAATGGCGAGTAATGAACCTTCTGTTTCAGGGAACATCTTTCCTGATGTCAGCCAATAGTTCGAGATTGTCGAACTATTGGCTGACATAGTCTTGACTTTATTATTATTATTTTTATTAATATTATTATTACTATTAGACATAAGCGGGGGCAGAGGAACTAAGTCCATAATATGCCCAAAAACAAAGAAATTTCATTAATAACCTACTAGTAAATAACAAAAAAATCAAATAAAATTAAAGTTTTTTTGGTTTAAAGAAAAAACAATATTTTAACTATAATATAAAACGATATAACACTCTATAATAGAAGTCTGCGCTTAGGTACACGGTCAAAAGCTTTAGAGAAATCTAGATATTTATTTAATTATTAATTTAAAAAATTGTACCTAATTTTTGTTTCGTAAACTTTTAAGTACTTTAAAGTTGTCTTAAACCCCTTTGTTTGACATTTTAGTTTGCGCCTAATTTAAAAAGAGATTGAAAAGAGAAGAACTTATATTTTTTCATAAACATATGCTTTAACATCTAGGATACTCTAGGAAGTTTTTCTTGTATCTCAGTTAATTATCGATAGCGCATATGAATAGGGATTAGGAATTAGGCATTATCCTAACACCATCGTACAGAAGGGTTGCAGGGCACACGGGTAAAAGTGAGTCTTAATAGATGCCTGAACCAAGAAGAAAATTAAACGAAACTATATCCTTAACGAAGTACGGCACACTGTCCCGCTGGACAGAAGAACCGAGCTAACTCTTCTGGAAAGAAAAATGGATAAATATTTAATAAAGAGGAATGTATATACTGGGGTAGGAGAACCTATAGAGGATATAGGCGAATAGCAATGACGAAAAAGGAAAAAAAAACAGTTTGGAGGATAAAAATAAATGGACAAGAATAAAGGACAAACGAAAAACTAAACGAAATATTGGAGAAGTAAGGTAGCAATAATGAAACGAGAGATAGTAATGATGAGTGTAAATGGGCGGCCAAAAATAATAAAAAAAAGAAAAGTAAATCACATAGAAAAAAAGTGAAGCAGATGACTGAAATAAAACTAAATCTAACCTAAAACAAGAAAGAAAGAGAGAGAGAGAGAGAGGGGGGGAAGAAATGGATATTAAAAACGAAGGTTTAAACCCTGTAAGGTACTTTAATTGTAACGAAGACGGTTACAAGTCAACATCTACTGGGCACTCATACTTTAAGGGGATCATGAAAGGTGAAAGAACGATTTTGCATGAATAAAAGACTGAAGGTATATCGGATTGACGTGCATAAGAAATTTGTGACGATACGTTTGGAGTGAGTAAATAAATTACTACTGCTACATTTCATAGAATGTGGTCTACTGTTACATTTCATCGGATTGTATAGCATAGAACTATGAAAATAGACTGGATTAGAATATAAATGAAGTAAGATCATTGGAAAGCGGGTGTATAGTGTTGTGGGACTTTAACGCGGCGAAGGGGGTTCCCGATAATAGACGATCGTTAAGAAATATATACGGAATTTATGGGAAATCTAGACCCCGTTGCCTTAAATGGAGAAAAAGAGAAAATGCTTTACTGGTAGTGTAAATAGATCACACGTAAGAGAACCAATATATTTTTCGAAGAAAACGGGCTACAAGGCAGGAGGAAAAAGCGAGGTAATAGAAGCTAGTATACTGGACACGATATAAAATGCCCGGAAAAAGCAACTGTATAGAAAGAAGAAGTCTGATTAACAATGACGCCCATAGCTATGCCAAAAGATAAAAAAGAAAAGAGAGTTAAAGATAAAACAAAAATAGTAAGCGAGAGTTACATATCCGTAAAGTATGCTTACCCGAGCTGTTAAGGTATTGGAACAACTTAAAGGGCAACAACCTGTATTCTCAAAAGCGAGATATACTGTCAGGTCTTTTGGCATCCGTCGTAACGAAAAAATTGCTGTACACTGCACAATCAGGGGTGCCAAAGCTGAAGAAATTTTAAAAGGGGTTTAAAAGGATTCAGGAACACATCGATCTTGGTATCAAATATGATCCAGATTGACAAAAGAAGATGTCATGAAGTGGTTCCAACAGAAATACGACGGTATAATTTTAGCTGGTAAGATAAACCTAGAAGAAGAGACACTAAAAATAACTATGCAACAAGCGTACAAACTCATCAACAAGCAGTTCAAGGCCAATATATAGGTCTCTATATAAGCTTGAGGTTACTCCTTGAGACCTGTTGCCACCCGACGACCGGCATGGAGTACAGTGGGACACCGAAGCTAAGGCAGCTGTATGTTTTACCACCCATGAACTAAATGAAATGTTAAATGCCCTGAGTTTAAGAAGGATCCTATAGGATATCCTGGATCCTATAAAATATCTTCAGAAGCAGAGAAATGCATCGGTAGAACTACAGAAAAGATCAAGATTAAAGTTCTCAAAAGACCACAGAAAGGGACGGGGTAACATTAGAAATGCATAATATCCTCAGATGTAACTCTGAGTCTAAATAGACATTTAAAGGAGAACGTAGAGACCGAGAGACGCGGAGCTTCGATGAGATCGGTAGCACTTGAGATCATGTCTAACATCGTAGGGCCCAAAATTGGTAGAAGGAGGGTTCTTTATTCTGTTGTTCAATCACCAACACATCAGTCGACACAGTACTTTTAGCATCTACTCAAGAAGACCTGCAAACATTACTTAACAGTGTTGTTGAGAGCTTTAAGGGAGCCAGTCTGGATCTGAACATACAGAAAACCAAAATACTCGTAATAGGTAAACAACAGAATATAAGACCGACTATTTATACACAGTAAAAAAAATTAGCAAGTATAAGTTAAAAAGCAGTGTCGAAAGAATTCTGCCCTGTTTAACCCTTCTAAAAATGGTTGTGTTTTAACCATGCTTTGTGGGGGCCTTTTTGACCCCAATACAGATTTTTAATAATCTGGATGTCCTTAATATTATCAGTCCTAAGTCCTGAAAGATATAATAGTTCTATGAGTCTGCCATGTTTGATGATGTTGGAGGCTTGGTACATGAAGAAGAAGAAGAATCGATTGTCTTCTATTCGACATGGTATTGATCTGTTTTAAAGCAGTTTTAAAAAAGTTATATAAAAGGCATGTCACCCAAGCAGATATGAAGAGTATATTGAGGATGACATGTGTATATAGAACACTGTCAGGTCTTATCACCAGATAACCGGAGTTATCAATAGATGTATTCCGTTGCACGTGTTAGTGAAGGAATGATAAAGAAAATACGGAAAAAGAAATGAATATATACCAAAGAAAAAATTCAAAGAAGAAGATAGAAAAGGGTCGATTCTTAGTTGTAAGAGAAATAAGATGAGATGTAGAGAGTCAATGATACATTCAGTATCTTAGACTTCCTTGTTTCTGTAAGTTCTCTAAACGAACTAAAAACTGGAAAAAAATTAGAGCAAATAATTTTTATTTTAGCAAACCTTTTAAAAGTACTGAAAATGTTGTTCATGAACCAATTTTGTTTATGTGTTAATACTGTTATTATTTGTATCAACAACTTAAGATACCGTTTCAAAGTAATATCTGGAATAATATTTTTTTATTTACATTTACCTTGCACTGTAGATTCAAATATAACACCTGTTTCTTTATTGTTGTTATCTTTATAAGACAATTCACTTTCTGTGTTTTTTCTGTTTGGACCGATTTTTTTTACATCTCGTGCTTGTCTTGTAGTTGGAAAATTCCATGCTAAAATTTATAAATGATCTTTAAAATAGGGAAAAAGTTTTTATTATGATATAAAATTATAAAAGGCAACTAATTCTAAAATAGTTTAGTTTACTGTTTACTCGAAGTAACCTTTTTTTTGACCTTCATCGTCACACAGTGACGATGAAGGCGGATAAGACAAACATTCAAGACGGCAAAATTTGCAAAAGTGGCAGCCTGCCTTTAGTGTAAGGCGTAGTAGAGAAACATGCATGCAGCGACTGATACACAGTGAATGGCTGCAAACAGCGTTTGCAGTCATCAACTGTGGCTTTATATATATATGCATCATTTGGTGTTGAAAGGAAGCAAGCGCTATGCATTGCATGGATATAATTTATACTTCGAAACTGCATTTAGTGTAAAAAGGAGGCAAGCGATGTCGCTAGCTAGCTTTCAACAACGTACCAAGAGTAGAGGGTGGGACACTGAAACCAGACAGACACACTGCGCATGCGTCGACATAGACCAGACATGTCGGTAAGCATTGGATCTGCATTACCGGCCAACACGTACCTTAGCATGGTTCCGAACCTTTAGTCGTGACTGAAACCATATGCAATGACGTTATTGCGTCAACTTGTCAATCTTAAATATTCAATTCTTTTTTAACTTTAATATTTTTATTTTCTATTAACCATTTAATCTCACAGTATTATTTTTAACTAATTTTTTTAAATTAAAGAAAAAGTTTTCCGAGGTAGGATTTGAACCCGGATCAAATATTTACTACACCTTCGTACTACTCACTACACCACGGGCGATTAATGTTATGCGTTCAAAAGAGTATAATAATATAAATGCAGTTAGCGCTAGGAATTTAAAATATTGCTACACCTCGTTTTGATTGCTGACAAAATAAGTGACTAGATAAATTTATACTAAGAGAAAAAAAAAGTTAGCAGCTTAGGTTCACAAAATAAATCAGTACAGTAACCACTCATTTATATTTTTTCAAATAAAAATGATCTATTATAAAAGAAAGTTATTAATTAGTACTAATAAACGAAAACTATCATTAACCTGGCAATATTAAATTGATATATAGAGGTAAACCACGGTACAGGATTTTAAAATGGATAACTTAAAGAAATATTAGTCTTTAGCTGTTGGATATCTAACGAGATGACCCACTAGTTGACTTTAAACGAATATTAATATAGATGCTATCCCTATGATTCCACTTAACGTCTGCTGCTTGGCAAAAGCGAACATTAACCTTTAATGAATACTGGTTCGCACAGTTCTCTCATGCACATATATCTTGTACACTGCTCAATATAGAAATAAAATTTTCGTCATACACTCCCAAACCAGCAGTTTGAATGTTAACAATAATTTTTAGGAATTTATTCACAACAGGGTATTCAGAAACTTCATCTGCATAATACACTTTTGCTATTCTAAACGATTGTCCTTTTAAATGCAATACAGATGAATGTGGTTTCATTCTGTCAATAAAAAATCTTACTTTCACCCTCTTATACTTTACCTTTATTGTTGGAAAAACTTTTAAATATTTGGATTTAATAACATTTATTCAATATAGCTATTGGAATGATACCAAAAATAATTTTTTAGGCACAGGGTTTTCAGAACTTTCATTTGCCTTTGCTATTCTACACCATTGTCATTTTAAACACAGCACACATATGCGCGCGTGACGACAATCGAATCAACTTTTTAATGAACTATTCTTACTCTATTACTTAATCGTGTTACCAATAAAAATCACTCGTGCAAGACGGAATAACAACAGACATGATCAAAATTCTCTAAAATCTATAAAATTCCTTAACACATGCCTAACAAATTCCATAGTCATGGCACAACACACGGGAGAGAAAATCGAAGGAACATGAACCCACCAATTAGTCTTTTACCACACGCCATGTAAATTTTTAACAAAGGTTATAACAAATTAAACTTATACCAAAGACAAATTCCACAAAAGGATAAAATACAAATAATGATCATCACACATACTGGGAAAAATGCAAAAATTCCACTTAAGTCGGCATTTAAAGCTTGCGATTTCATAGAACAATGGGCAATGGGTAGTTTATGCACTAGATAACGGCAAAAGTTTTTAGAAAACATTTAGCGCAAAGCAACATTTAAAAGTTAAAAGAAATGAAAAATTAATATTACAAATTAACAAGGAGTCAGACAAGGAGACACGATAATGTTCCAAGTTATTTACAATAATTGATGTAAAGGATATTAAAAAAAAAACTGGAGTGCGAACAAAAAGTTACTTAACGTCAATTAAATAACTTGCGATTTGCAGATGACCTTGTACTAATTATTAGTACTTTGGTACGGGAGACACAAGAAACGTTAAAAGGCTTAAGCATCGAGGATAGTAGGACTAACATATAGAAAAAATTAACGTAATGTTAGCTGAAGAAGTAGACTCTTGAGGATAGGAAGATTAATAAATATCTACAGAATATAAAATAAAAATAGAAACTTAAATTGCAAAATAACCAAAGGGATAATAGTAGGTAAACTCAGTATTACTATAAAAGATCCAGTGAATTTAAAACGAAAGGTTTTTGGCACATGTATCCTTACTGTTGTGACCTGAGACCATGACACTTTATTGTCAGACTTGAAGAGCTATTGAGAGATATGATAAACTGTAACCTTAAGATATCATTATAAGAAACGAAAATATAAAAACAAAAACAGATTAAAGCTATCGCAAAAATCTAAATGACAGTTGGCAAGTGGGGAAATAGCACATAAACAATAATAAAACGACTGTGATGGATCAAGGACACTAAAGAAAAGAGAGAGGAAGAAACCACATAACGAAGAAGCTGCTAAAGACCAATAAACGGTCCCAAATGCCTCGACCCTTCCAACAACAAAAAAAAAATTAATTACAACTAAAAATATTAATATGATACAGTTTATCGATCATAGATTCAAAAAACTAGAAAATGGGGGAAAATTATAAGTAAAACTAACATCTCGATTGTGTAGTCAAAAATACTTTAAGATCACACAAGTTCTGGTCAAATAAGTCAATTCGCTACCAAAAATTTAATTTATGAATAAAAACATTAGTGATAATTGACCACAATAATGGATCAACCTGCTTTTTTGGAGATTAAGGGCGTAGAGCTGGAAAGGTTTGAAATAAAAAAACATAAAAAAATGTGTTTTATTTAAAAAATAATTAACATACAATTTTATTATAATATTATGTGATAGGTTTTGAGCATAGTCGGTATACGGTCTATCAAGCCATACATATTCAACTTTTTTGGTTAATAGATATCCATTCAATAGTGACAAGTAACCTAAAATCATTACATAGCAATTGAATGTGATTTTGCACTTTTAATTTTACAAATTATACGGCGGTTACATGTTTAGAAAAAAAAAATATAGTTCCTTAGAGAAGAATCATTAATGTACAGAGGTCCTCAACCATTGGTGGTATATATCATTATTTGCGTTGGTACACCAAAACAGCCAAAATCAACACCACAGTAACACACAAAAAAAAATAATGTTCTACGTTACAAGTTCAGTAGGTGATTCCAAAATTATCACACTGGGGCATTGTTAAAATACTGTTTTATTTGATCCATTATTAAACTATCTAGCAAGATAGGTATTTAAGTTAGGTGGTACCAAAACTAATAAAAATAAGAGTACATTACTCCAAAAAGGTTGAGAACCACATGTGATTTTGACATAATTATATAATATGAAAAATATTATAGGCAAAGTACATTTTACCAGTTTTTGTGTGCTCGCTATTAGACACATCAATAATCTCTATATTTGTTTACGACTTGACTATACTGAAAAATCAATCTATGTTGGCTACATGTGGTGTCTGTAAAGATAAGTGTTTCTGTCTTATAATAAACTGTACTCTGATTGCTAAATTTAATTGTAGCGTTCAGTAGTGGTTCCTAGCTATTGAAGTATACCTATAACAAAAATGTACGCAAAAGTGTAAGGGCTTGGACTTTTAATCAATTTGGTTCAAGCAAAATTTCAGTAACTTGTAATTGTGTTATTTTCTGACTTTATGTAAGCTTTACCCATAAAATTGTAAAATTTTAAAAGACAATTAAGTACATTGCATCTAACTAAATTTTGCTTTTAACAGTAGTCGCCACGAGAAGGCATGATTAAGTGACTACCGGGAGGGGGTAATATTAGTACTGGACAAACGGTTAGTATGGAGGTGAAGAAATGCTTGTCTGTTATCTGATACATATTTTAGTAAGTAAAAATCAGTATTGAAATATTACAAAAGTACGAGTTTAGTAAACATATTTTTACGACCTGTTTAACATATTTTATTAGTTTTTGGATTATTTAGTATACATTTTCGGTTTCAAAAAATAAAATAATTTGAGTGGTTCATAACAGATATCTTTTCGTGGCTTGTCCTGACCATCTTTTTTAATCATACAAAATATGGGTCAGTAAGCATCTTTTTATGGTCTTTTAGTATATATTTCGTGATTCAAATGTAAATAATTGGAGTGGTCCATACAGACATCTTTTTATGGCTTATCTTGACCATCTTTTTTAAATTATACAAAATATAGGGGTCAGTAAGCATCTTTTTATGATCTGTTGAACATCTTTTATTATATTTTAAATTTTTTTTTTTTTATTTTTATTTTTTTTTTTTTTATTTTTTTTTATTTTTTTAGTATACATTTTAATTCCAAAAATAAATAATTTAAGTGGTCCACAACAGACTTTTTTTGTCACTTTTTTAAATTTTATTGTCTGATTTAAAAAATTTGATTTTGATCTATTTTAAAATAATATTAGAAAACATACAAGCGCTTATACCATAAGGATAAGGAACGTAAAGTAATTTAATCTGAAAAATAAAAAATAATAATATGTTAATACCATAATTTACTACAATTCATATTCTCTATAAAAATATTGTAAATGTAAAAAAAAAATATATTAAATTTTAAGTTTTTTGT